GAGCTGGTCATGAGGAGGGATGGGTAGTAGTAGCAGCCAGAATCCCAAGGGACCAGCTTGCTCCCTGCCCTCCAGTCCTCACTCCCATCCTAAAGTCGTCGGAAAGAAAACTCCAGAAGGGGTGGGGCAGTGGGGCGTTGCACAGGACACCAAGTCAGAAGCTTCTGATGCTTCCATCAGCTCTGAGTGAGCTGGGCTGCTCTGGCCAAGTAAGTTCCCTTCTCTGGGTTTCAGAAAAATGAGGGGTTAGCATGAGAGGCCCTCACATCCTCTCTAATGCCAATATTTGACTCCACATCAAGAAATAACTCGCCCATCTCCCCCCTCCCCCTCCTCTTCTTTCCCTTCTGCTTCCTTAGGGAATGTATTCTGCTTTCTGGGCCTCTGGGTCAGCAATGGCCTGAGATCATGCCCCTTTGGGGGAATCTGCATATTTATGGGAGAGCACCGTAGTCGTAGGGAATATATAAGTAAAATTGGGGATCCTAATCAAACAGCCATTCCTGGGCAGAGAAAAAAATGAGGCTAGTCCTAAAAGAAATTTGCATGCAGACAAGAAGGGACAAGCCTAGGATTGGCCATTCTAACTAGCTTGGCCTGTGTCAAGATCTCTCTCCCAGGGACCAAGGTTGATAGGAATGTTGGGGGATAAGTAGCAGAGTGGGGTGGCATCAGGAGCTAGCCAGTTCCTACTGGGCAACATCTGTGGACCTAAGCCTTGGAGGCCCCAGGGTTCTGGCCTAATGTGCCTTTTTCCATCTCTGCATTCAAAGAGAATGCCAGAGGTCATTGAGTTCAACCCCCTACCCGCCCCACCCCTGTTTTACAGAGGAGCTATATGAGAAAGGAGGTGACTGATCCAGGCCACTCACTGAGGGGTTCCCATTGCAAGAAAAGTTAGGTGCATATTTAAAAAGCCCGGTGTGGCTGGAGAGAAAGGACATCAGGCAGCAAAAGACCTCAGGTGGCCTCACACAACATCCTCCACACAGCTCTTGCTCCTAGCTCAGTTGGCCAACTCTGCTTCCATCCCAGATCACACTGCTGAACTTCTGGACTCGGAGTCACTCCACTCCACACCCATAAATCCATTGCCATCAAGTGGATTCTGACTCATGGTGACTCCATGTGTTACAGAGTAGAACTGCTCCATAGGGTTTTCTTGGCTATAATCTTTACAGAAGCAGATTGCCAGGTCTTTCTTCCTTAGTGCAGCTGGGTACGTTTGAACTGCCAACCTTTAGCTTAGCAGTTGAGTACAAACGACTTGCACCACCCAGGGACCTTTCCATACCCCCAGGTCATCAAACTCTTACCCAGCTTCTCCTAAAGTGCACTTCACTTCAGAGCTCATGTGCCCTAAGGAGTCTCACCTGGGCCCCAGCCTCACTGACCTTGCCTGCTACCACATCACTCCAGGTGTCACTCATTTGGGGGTGCTTGTTATCTTGCCAGTAGCATAATGGTTTTTTCCTGTTTTCTTGTCTTATCTCTCCCATTAGATGAAAGTTTGTTAAAGGCAGAGATCTCAGGAGGAAGCATGATATCATTCATGGAGCACACTCAGCTTTTGGGATCCAACAGACGTGGGTTTGAATCCAGGCTCTGCTATTTGCTTGTTGTATGATGTTCAGCAGGAGCCCTGATGGCCCAGTGGTAAGTGCTCAGCTGCTAACCAAAAGATCAGTGGTTCAAACCCACAGCCACTCTGTGGGAGAAAGATGTGGCAGTCGGATTCTGCAAAAGATTACAGCCTTGGAAACCCTGGGGGCTGGCTCTGCTCTGTCCTATAGGGTCACTATGAGTTGGAACCAATTCGACAGCAGTGGGTTATGATGTTGAACAGGTCCCTAGCACATGATATTGGCTCTCAATAAGTATTTGTTGAACGAATGATGAGACTTAACCTTTCCAAGTCTCAGTTCCCTCAGCTGTAAAGTGGAAACAATAATACCTGCCTACTTCCCAGGTTACATGTGCAAACAGCCTGTCCGGAGAGTGGGTTTCCACACATGTTTTTTGTCTTCCCATTCATACCCTTATTCAT